ATTTTGTAAGGAGATACATCTTAGCTCTGGAAATTGTTATTGAATATGTCAATGCTGTTGTAATGAAATACCTCTTCTAATTATGTGGTTATTAAATAATAAAAAAAAGTTGAAAAAAATATTTTTAAAAACGCACTGCTTAAAACCATTTTCCTCACTTTGATCTACATCCTATGCATGTTCTTATACAGTCTAGAGCTCCCCACATCTTCAAAGGACTTTGATTTTGTATTACTGAAAGACAGGAAATACGTGGATCACTCTAAACAGCAAGTGATAAGAAGCACCACACTGAAAATGCATCCTAGATTTTGAGTCAGTAGACTGCACTGTTAACACGATTTGTCTGAGCAAATATGAAAATGAGCTTGCTTCCCTGAAAACTAGTTTGAAGAAACTTGACGTAAAGGGAGAGGGGATAGAAAGTTATTATATCATCATCTCTTATCCTATACCAATTCCAATTATTGACATGATAAAATAAATCAATACAGAGAAAGTTAACAAAATGGAAAAAACTGATAGAATACCCTATATTATCTCAATATTATTATGAATTGATTGAATATTTTATAATGAAAAATAAAATAACTTGTACACAGTAGGAATGTCAAGTAACTTCCCATATAAGGGGTGTGTGTGTGTGTGTGTGTGTGTGTGTGTGTGTGTGTGTGAAGCTGCCAAACTAATTGTTTTCATTTTCCATCTAAGATTTCTTTCTGTTGTGCTTATGTTCTTCAATAAAGCAGGAATTATATGAGTTTCTTTAACTCTCTGCCTTAGATTACCATCACATACTATTGTTTTTCTCCTTTAGAAGTGGCCAGTAACAGCACTGATCACTGTGGGCTCCTTTCTTTTGTGATGATGAGGATCAAACCCAGGGCCTCTGCATTTTAGGCATGCTTCCCGCAGCTGAGCCACACCTACAGTCTTTAGTTACCTTTTATAAGTTATTCATTTATTTATTTTATTATTTTAAAAAATATTTTACATTTATGAATATTGTATGTGCATGTATGAAAGCATACCCATGCATACAATGCACACGGAGGCCAGAAGAGGGCATTGGATCCCTTGGAACTGGAGCTAAAGACAGTTGTTAGCCACCACATGGGTGCTGGGAACTAAACCCTGGTCTTCTACAATGGCAGTCAGTGCTCTTAACAGCTAAGCCATCTCTCTAGCCCTGCAAAACAAAGTATTGCTATATAGCCTAGTCTTTTCTTGAACTCTGGATCCTTTTGCCTCTGTCTGAGGGGCCAAGGGACATATTCAAGGCTGCCTTCCTAGGAAAGGTTGATACAAATTAAGAACATGCTTTATGGCCACTTGTTCAGTTCTTCTTTTATTGGGTTGGAGAAATTTGCGAAGTTTAGTTTTGTGTACAAAGGCTACCTGCACTCCTGCTCCATCCACGCCCACACTGCATGTGCCCGACTTCCACATTATAAATAAATCAAACAAGCCCCCCCAAATTTCTTATCAGTTTAATAAAGTGAATTTTCTTTTGCTCAGTAAGAATGTTTCTGTGATGTCTTAAAACAACTATATAGTTTCCAAACAGAGTTTTCAGTAAATGTCTGACTTCTATGGTTAACAACCACATCATTGAGGCCTTATCATTCCTTATTGTTCCCCTGTCTGCTCCTCAATCCCTTTCCACCATCCTAACCTTCTGTAAAGGCAGCTGCTTCTCCAGCAGTTCCTGCCTGTGAGCTGCAGAGGCCTCCAGGAGCTGCTCCCAGCGCCTCATCAGGGCTGCATAACGCTCCTCAATGGCTTTGGTCTGACTGTGCTCTGCAGCCACCAGCTGGTCCTTGAGGTCAGTGATCTCAGAAAGCTGCTCTTGCTGGAAGCTCTGAAGGCTGGCATCCAGTGTGTCCTGAGAAGACCAATGAGGAGCAGTGAATGGGAGTAGTGCAGCTTCCAGAGCTGGTCACACCTGTGTACGATCAGATTTTTATCGTATTGTAAGGGTTAGTATTGTCAACTTGACAGGATCTAGAATCACCTAAGAGAGAGGCCTCCAGACACACCTATGAGAGACCATTTAGCCTCTGGACATGGTTGTGAAGAATTATCTTGCAATTAATGAGACAGGAAGACTCAGCCACGCTGATTGGTATCATTCCTTGGGCTGGGATACTCGGCTATACAGAAAGGAGAAAATGAGCTGCGCACAGGCATTCATTACTCTCTGCTTTCTGATTACAGACACCATGTGTCCAGCTACTTTAAGCTCCTGCTGTCTTGACTTCCCTTCCATGATGGGCTGTCTTTGAACTGTGAGCCTCCTTTCAAGTTGCTTTAGTCAAAGTATTTTACCACAGCAACAGGAAAAGAAAGTAATACACTTGAAAAAAATTAAAAAGGCTAAACAAGATGGCTAGGATGATGGGCAAGGAAAAGAAAATACAATTTAGACACTTAGGCGAACATCTGAGATTAAAATTACGGTTATGTTGCAGAGTATCATATTTTACAGATTATGTGTTAAATATAAAATTGTTAAGAGTATATTGGATCATGATATTTAAGATTTTTATAATCAAATTGAAATTATTCTTAGAGAACTCATACTTTCTGAACTTTCTTGCATCACTATAATTTATTCTAACTAGAGGCAGTGCTTTACTAGGGCACTTGAATATACATAAACTAATGAAACATCCCCTATAAATGCCTATAAATGTCCTATAAGTATTAACATTTGTAGAAATGTAAACAACAAAAATAATCACAAAACAAATTGGTGTCCATCAACTGATGAATGGATAATGAAAGTATGGCACATATATACAGTGAAATATTATTTAGCTGTTAAGAAAAATCAAATTATGACATTCTTAGGTAAGTGAATAGAACTGGAAACAATCATCCTAAGTGAGTAACCCAGACCCAGAAAAACAAAAGTTGTATGTTCTCTCTCATAAATGGACATCAGCTTTGAATCTTTTGATAGGGGTGTTGCAACTGGAAAACCTTCAAGATAAGGATATTAACAAGGGATGATGGGGATGGTTCATGAGAGGGGAAGATAGAATTTAGCAATATAAATGAGAAAGGGGAATAACAGATAGGAGAGGTTTAATCGGATGGGGAATGGGAAGCTAGGACAGAAGAGGGAGTAAGAGGAAGGATAACCAACATAAAGGCCTTTAGAAAGAGCCACGTGGAGGCCTATTATAAAAAGCTTCTTTCAATATATACACATATACATACAAAAAGGAGTTTAAATGTAGCTACACGATAACAAAGTTCCAGTGGCCCTAGTAGATTCCACAGGCTAGCAAATGAAAATCCCAGTGCTAGGAATGGACTCCCTCTTTTACAGTTATCAACCAGAGAGTTGCATAGATCCTCAAACAATACTGGATACTGCCACTGCAGTTGGTTACCCACCAGAACTCAATGCTAAGACACTAGATACCGGAGTAGCAGAACAAACAAGAAAGTAAGCTGGTACTGACTCTGGAGCTACATCTCTGCTGGTTAGTTTTCACAGCCCTAGAAGGTGCTATGTATATTGCTCGCAGAGAAATGTAATCGTCAACCTTACACTTATCCATTGCTGCACAAGCATGAGGACATAGTTCAGATCCCCAGAGTCCACATCAAAGCCAGGCAAGTGTTGAAGGCACCTGTAACTCCAGTACTGAGAAGGTAGAGCTCAGATTCTTGGAGCAATCTGGCAATCTAGACTAGCTGAATCAGGGGACACACATCTGTGTGTATATGTGTACAGGTTAGAGATTGACATCAGGTACCTTCCACTGTCTCCCCACCTTATTTTTTGAGACAGGGGTCTGTCACTGAACTTGGAGCTTAACTCTCTGAGATCCTCCTATCTGCCTTCCTAGTGCTGTGATTACAGGAGTAAACCACTATACCTGGCTCTTTACATGTGCTGGGAATCTGAACTCAGGCTCTCATACTCGTGAAGCAAGCATCTTACCCAGCAAATAATTTCCCCAGCCCTTTATAAATTTCATTATCAAATACTTAATTGTAGTAACAAACATGATCTAATTATAGGAATGAACAGAATACACAATTAATAGAATATGAGAAGAGAGAGAAAGAGAAAGAGAGAGAACAATTTATAAATCTTGGGCCTCCCTGGCCACCTTTAACATGGCAGCTCTCACCTGCTTTGCCAGGAGTGTAAGGAAAGCAGGAAGGTCTGCACCATTGATCTTGTTCTTTAGGCTTGCTTCCTTATCACCTATAAAGCAAAGAGAGTTAGGAGGGAATGATTAGATGATTATTCACAGTAGTGAACCAAGAAACCTCCCAATTCTTAAAATAGAAGGCACATTGTAATTTGGAAGCAGAGGAAACAATGGATTGCCTTTTTATCCTTGAGTTGGAGAAAACTGCTACTGCTAAGGTCAAAAGAAATTCTGAATCATAGAATAAAAGATAACAGAAGATTGGACATGCATTATTAACATAAAAACATGCTATAGCTTGTTTCCTAGAATATTTTATGATAGATTTATCTTTCTGAATGTCTTACATGAAATCACCAATCCTTAAGAATTGTGTTCTGTGGAATTATGGTACTTGCCGTGTGTGTGTGTGTGTGTGTGTGTGTGTGTGTGTGTGTATGTGTGCTCACAACCTTGTTATGTGTGTGTGTGTGTGTGTGTGTGTGTGTGTGTGTGTGTGCGTGCGTGCTCACAACCTTGTCCAGAAGGAGCAAGAATGGACTCCTGGATGCACCTCTTTTCCCACGGTGTAGGAAATGCCATCCCAGATGCCATTGTTCAAACGGGACTCATTGGTATTTCTTTAACCAAAGGACCCTGGTCATCATACCTATCCAGGACTCCACCACGTCAGCTTTCCAGTTAAACTTCTGAAAGGCATGATCATCTTCCAGTTGCAACTTCCAAGCAGCTATTGCCTTAGCCAGAGAAGGTGCCTTTTCATTCAGAGCCTGGATCTTGGCAGAAATCTTCTCCTTGTTCTGAGTTTCCTCCTGTGACACCAAAGTTGAGAGAAGGAGGAGTTATATGAACATGCTGAGGAGTGTCCAGCAAGAAATTTGGATTCCTCCTACCAGTAAAATTCTTTCATCTTGGGGGTTGGAGAGCTGTCTCAAGTGGTTAAGAATACTGACAGCTCCGTCAGGGCCTGGGTTCAGTTCCCAGGACACACATGGTGGCTAACACCTGTCAATAACTACAGTTACAGGGGATCCAATGCCCTCTTCTGGCTTCTATGGACATTGTCCGACATGAGTGCACGTGCATGCATGCCTGCATACTCATACACATAAAGATCATTTTTAAGTGAAGTTTTTAAAAAGCTCTTAACTCTTATCCAAAACACATAAATGCTTTCCTGTAGATCTAGTGTAATTATTTCATCTTTCATCCATGCTCAAGAATGTTATTTCCACTCCAACATTGGAGCAAACCTGTCATATTTGTCTATATAAGTGTGACTTTCTTGGTGCAAGCTTCTACAAAGTGTAGAGTCATATGTTTAGGGGTCTTCATATGGTACTCACGCTAACGAGATTTTGTCAAAATAATGTAACCAACAGGTTCTACAGAGGTTCCGATGCTGCTCTTCTCTAAAGAGGGTTGGAAGAAAATGTTTTTAGGTTCCTGGAGTACTCTGTAGCTAATGCCAGTTTTAAGATTGTTGGAGCACCAAAATGAATTTTTAAGGAAAGGTGAAAAGGTTACATATAGAATCCTAAAGAAATAATTTCTGGAAAAAAGTGAATGAGTGAATAATGAATTGCTGGGGACCCCAAGAAAATTCTCCTTGGAAGAGGTTATTAAAATTTTGGCCAAATTTTGTAGAATAAGAGACTGAAGAGTATGTGTCACTGGAAAGGCTATATTAAACATCACCCACTCATGACTCAGGGGCCATTGCAGAAGAGGAGGGGTTGGTGCATTATCATAAGGAAACAGAGTTTCCAGGCCTCTGGGAACTTGCTCATATGAACTTAAAGCAATGATGTCAGCATGCACAAGACTCGTGCACACCAAGCCAGACAAAAAAACAGCATAGAACTGGGACAAAGGGCAGGAGATCCCAGCCTTAGCTGAAGAACTATTGGTAGCTGATTACTGCTGGGTGAGGGAGATTTGTTCTTCTTTAAGGGAGTGACTCTAGATAGGCTGACCATGCTCTTGTGGATTAACTGGCACAGAGAGATATCTGCATATACAAATTTGATGCCATAATCCTTAACATATATGCAGAATGTGTGAAATCTGGTGGGGGTGTATAGGAATGTGTAGATAGGGGAGGGGGATATATTGTATTAAATGCACAAAAATTCAGTTAAAAATACACATTGAGGGCTGGGCATGGTGGCTCACACCTTTAATCCCAGCACTCGGGAGGCAGAGGCAGGCAGATCTCTGTGAATTCGAGGCCAGCCTGGTCTACATAGTGTCTTCCAGGACAGCTGGGGCTACAGGGAGACTCTGTCTCAAAAAGACAAAAAAAAAATACACATTGAGAAAAAGTTCTCTGTATTAGAGACTGAGTGTGGTGGAACATGTCTTTAATCCCAGAACTTGGGAGGTAGAGGCAAGTGGATCCCTGTGAATTTGAAGCCAACCTCTTCTACACAGGGAATTCTAGGCCCATCAAGAGCTACATGTCTAAACAAAATTTCTGTATATAATTTAATTTATTGCCTAATTATTTTTATAGGTAATTTTACCACTGCTCATGGCTCTGTATTTGTGCCAATCCCTCTCAGAAAATGACTTGGAACCCTGGGCAGCTCACCTTACAAAGAATGTCTTCTCCTTGTGCACACACATTTTGAACCCGGGTCTCATGGACAACAAAGTCATTCTCCAAAGCTTCATGCTTCTTCAGCAAACTCTGTATAAACAATTTAGCGAAAATCAGGATGCACAAGAATGAAAAATCTGTCTGTCCATATCAAAGTCCACTGTGTGTTACTGACCAGGGGTGCTCCAGCTAAATTGGCTGACTAGATGAATGTTCACTTCCTCTGATGCAACTATACCAAATTCCTCTCTCAAAACCTTTTGCTATTAAAGAGGATAAACTTGTTGGAAAGAGAGAGGAACAGTTCAGGTGACACAGTTTCTGATCTTCCATGTTACCTTATATATTTTTTAACCTTTGGAGTGAGATTTGATCAAGATGTCTACATACTGAGATGCAAGTCTACCAAACACTGCATCTTTCAGAAAATGTTAAGTACTAAGCACTCCCAAACTAAGAACTGATTCTCAAGGCAGGAGTTAAGGACAACATGGAGGTGTTTTTTAATATCATTCCAAACTGTCTTTGATTCTGATTGCATTCTGAAAACATGTTATGTGTAGCTAGAGAAATGGAGAGGAAGTGGGAATGGGACATGGACCACATTTCTTGGTCTTCCTTTGTATTTCCATCATACACACACATACACACACACACACACACACACACACACACACACACACACACACCATGTCTCATTGCCACCACTCCTACAGCTGCCCTGCTGATTTTTTGTGTTTCCCTTGTCATACGGGCATGTCACTAATGTTTTTCTCCCTAAATAACATAGTAACCAAACAAAATGAAGAAACCAAATTCTATCACTGATATACCATTTGTGAAGCATATCTGAAAATAAAAGAAATTTCAATGTACGATGTTCTTAGGTATTAGAATAAATGGTTACGCCTTTAAAAATAAAATGGGAAGTATTACTTTTTATATTCCTTTTATTTTGCAGAAACTGTAAATGGAAATGTTATAAGGTTGAATATCTCAGTTAACCTTGAGTTTATGTAAGTATACTGTTTGAGATAAAATTTCTTTAATGTCTTTGTCTTCTTTCCACAAATAATACATTCATAAATGAGAAAAAGAGGCATTAAAGCTAATGTGTCATAAATTAAAACATCCTCAGAAACTCTAGTGAACACTTCTATGAGAATATACTGCATCATTCAGAATAAATGGATAGTCACGTGGGGATAGAATCAGAATTCAGAAACCTTGAACAAAGCAAATCCAGTACCAGATTAATTCAACCAAACATTTAAGTTAGCAATGTCAATCCATATCAAACTTTAAAAATTGAAGAAAATTAACATTCCAAATCTCTTTTATGTGGCAAGCATTATTGTTACCAAAGTTAGATAAAGATATTATAATAAAAAACATTGCAGGGTAATGTTCTTGATAAACATAAATGCAAACTCCTCAACAAAAACAAGCAATTGGTCATTTAGAGGTAAACATTTAATTTTGCAAATATATGTTATAAGAAGTTGATAAAATATTTTATGATGTTTGGGCTAAAACAGTCTCATTTACTTAGCTAGCTTTTAAATGTACACCTTTAGATGTCCAGTCATCTGTAATACTAACGGAGCCTATTTTCTATAAGCCTATATCCTGAGAAATACATACTTTTTAAATTAAGACATTTTACTCTGTATTGATAATTATATTTTTATTTTGTATATCTTTGCAAATATTTAATATATTTGTTATAAAAAACATAATAGTCATGCAGGAAAGAGTTAATAAAATGTCTGTAGACATTTACAAAATTACATTTTGAGCAAAATTACGTTTTGCATTTACAAAATTACATTCAATTTGAGCAATTGAAGAATGAAAGATAAAATGTGGGAAAATGGTAATGAAATAGGAAAAGAGATAGAAAATTCTTAGCATTTTTAATGTTCATCACCAATAAACTAATGAGAAATCATTAAGGAATACTTTCATGTTATGAATTTAGCACAATTCACTATTGATATTGTTTTATGTGTTTCAAATAAAATATAGAAGTTTTTAAAAATTCAAACAAAGTTGATCCAACAGTAAATGAAAAAGGTTAAGTCACATATACAACTGGATTTATTCCTCAGGCACAAGGTGGGCTCAACACAACACACTGACAAAAGCAAAGATAAAAGAAAAATCATATAAGATCTCAAAAGTTGTAGAAAAAGTGTTTGGCAAAATTCAGTATTTTTTTCATGATAAAAACTCAAATGAGAAACAAAAGAAAATTTCCTCAACATAGTGAATTCCATATACCAGACCAAATAGAGAAAACTGGAAGTTTGACCTTTAAAACCAAGAATAGGCTAAGAATGTGCACTTTGGATACTTTTAGTCAACATAATACTGGGAGTCCTAGTGAGAGCAATTAAACAAGAAAAAAATAAAGCACATGATCTAAATAATAAGGAAGAAGCAAAATTGCCTTTTTTGCAAACAAAATGAAATTACACAGAAAATACACTAGAGATTTCATAGAAAATGCTAAAATTACAGACAATAAAACAACATATAAAATCACCTGCCTTCTGGGAAAGGGAGAGTCAATTTTCTTTAAGGATGTGGCTACTAGTAGGTCAACCACACTCTAATGGATGCCCCCAAGGCATATACAGGCAACAAAAATTGGAGTCAATGAATTATTTCAAAAATTACAAAAGGAGATGAATTTGGGGGGTAGGGAGGTGGGAGAAATCTGGGAGGAGTAACAAGGAGGAGGTGGGAGTGAATATGATCGAAATATATTGCATGAAATTCTCAATAATTGAATTATTTTTAAAATCTGTATATGGGCCAGTGGAACCTCAACAGGTAAAGACTCTTGTTGCCAACACAGCCTAAGTCTGACCCTGGATCCAACATGGTGGAAGGAGAGAACTGATCCCCACACCAAGTTGTCGTATGACTTCCACATGTGTGCTGTGGCATGTGTATGTATATGTACATGTACACATACACACACAGAATAAATGAAATAAAAAGATTTTTAAACATTACTCACATTTATATATGTTAATAATGAGCTACTTGAAAAAGTAATGAAGAAAATAACTCCTTTTATAATCACATCAAAAACATTAAAACACTTGAAATTAAGTTTTACCAAGGAAGTTAATAATATACAGTGAAATCTAACTAACAACTACATAAGAAACTAAAGGCACAAACACAGTTCTAAAGTCTAATAACCACAATGAGTGGCACAGCAAACTATCTCTATTGGTGCAGTAATGGCACTTTTATCTGGGGGGAGGTAATCAACAGCTATCTAATTGAACTTAAAAGCCCTCTCAATGGGAGGGAACTCATGGGTGACACTGCAAATAGAGCCAAATACACATGACTGGAAAGGTCATATATCCTAGAGAAAACCCTATCTCTGGCATATCTCTAGACAAATGAAATCTCTTACTGTACACTAAATATGGATCCTTATATTTACAGACAAGTATACCATACACCATTTACCAAAAAAGCTTCTTTTGCAATAGATGGAGGCTATTGAAGAGTTCCACAAATGGTCAAGCACAGAGAATATACATTTGAGAGATTCCCAGTCCTACGTGACACATTTGCAGTTGAACCTCTACACCTAAGTCTCATGGAACAGAGTGAAACAGGGGGTAGAGAGAATACTAATGCATCCCTCAACTCTCACAGCGAACCTTCCTCATGTAACAAAGTTTGATGCACACAGAGGCCACAACTGGCCAAGTTTTACAGAGTAAGAGGCTGAAGAGTGCATGTCCCAGAATTGGACTCCTATATTAAAGCTCACCCATCCATGGCTCAAGGACCATTGTGGAAGAGGAGGCAGAAAGACTTTAAGAGTCAGGGTTGGTGCATAAACAGAAGGAAACAGAGTCTTCCAGGCCACTGGGAACTTACTCATTTGAACTTGGAAGAGTGGCGACAACATGCAAAAGACCCATGCTGACTTAATCAGACAAAAACCCACCATATAACAAGGGAAATGGCATCAGGTCTCAACCCTAGCCAAGGAATTATTGACAACTGATTACTGCTGTGTGAGGGAGAGTAGATATTCTTTAAGGGAGTGACTCTAGCTAGTTTGACTAGACTCCAGTGGACAAACTTGTACCCAGGGACATCTGGGTACAAATGCTTGACCAGAGAAGACTTAACATGTATGACAGAATGCAATACTCTGGTGATTTAATGGTAAGAGGGCCTATGTGGGGCACGAATGAAGAAAGGGGGGTCTAAATTTGATTAAGATGTATTATATGAAACGCACAAATCCACAATAAAAATATTTTAGAAAATATTTAATTGTCATGTGGTGATTGTGCATGTTTTGTGGCCTCTCAAGACATATATAGACTAGAAGAATAAAAATGGTATAAATGATAACAATACTCAAAAATATATAGATTCAATATAAGCCTTATCAAAATTCTTAGGACACATTTTACAGAAATAAGAAAATCAATTCTAATATTCCCATGGAACCAGTAAAGACCACTAACAGCCAAACCCTTCCTGACAAGGAAGAACAAAACTGGAGGGATCACAATTCCTTATTTCATAAACTATGTCACAAAGCTATAGAAATAAAAATATTATGGTACTAGCATAAAGAAAGGGGTAATGGAGAGAGGAGAAAAGGTATTCCAGAAAAGAAAGAAGACATATACAGTCACCTGGTGTCTGTAAAAAATATACAACAGGGAGAGGATAGCCACCTCAAAAAATAACACTTGAAATACAACTACTCTTGCAGAAGAAATAAGTTGGATTATTATCTTGCACTGTATCTAAAAACATCAACTCAAAATAGATTAAAGACAAATATAAAAAGGTAAACCTATGAATATCCTGAGAGATCACATAGAGGGAAAATAATCAAGACATAGTTTTGGCAATAATTACACAGATATTACAGCAAAAGCACAGGTAACAGGGGCCCAAAATAGACAAGCGGGACTACATCAAATCACAACGCACTGCACAGCAAAGGGAATCATCAACAGAGCACAAAGGCAGCACGCAGAACTAGAGTTAAATATGCAAGCCACTTATCTGATAAGGGTTAATTTCCAAAATACATAAAGAACTGCTTCAACCTACTACTGAAATAAGTAGATAAATATATAAATAGAAACTATAAAGAATGTCTGAGTGTCTGACCTAGGCCTAGGGAAAAGGGGCCACACAGATATGGGCAACCGTAGAAGCCAACAACACTCTGTTCCTGGGCAACCTGGAGACAAAGGTGAAAGACGAACCCCTCTTCCAGCTGTTTCACAAGGCTGGGCCAGGGGTAAAGGTGACAGTTCCCAAAGATGATAATGGTAAACAAAGATGTTTGCATTTGTAAATTTCAAATACTATGTGATATCTCTTCCTTACAGGATGAATTTACTCAATGGACTCAAACATTTGGGAAAGCCCATCAAAACTCAGATTAGATTGGGAAGTAGTTTTGCTTCTCTGGAAGTTGGTGTATCCTAGTCTGAGCATCATGTTGGAAATTCCAACCTACTTCCACGTCTCCTAACAGCAGGTATGAAAGGACTGGATAAACTGACTCCATCATCACAGATAACTCAGAGATTGTTCTCTCCTCCAGAAGATTATCAGTGACAATCAGTGATGAGCAGTGCATTCAGACAGATGCCACGTGTAGGAAATTTGGTTCACACCTTGTCCTTTAAGGACAACAGCGCTCTGCTCACTGAGTTAACAGACTCCTGACATTTGGCTCACTAAGAATTAACAGACATTTTTGGACTTTGCTGATGCAGAGGCTTGACTGAGCGAGAGTCTGTTCCCAGGATGCTTGGAAGACTATCAATAAGGCATCTTTTTCTGGAATGGTAGGAACAAGTTGTCATGTTCCTCATCCTGTTTGTTACTGGGCCAATCACTGCTGCCTTGGGCAAGCTGTGCTGTTTTCTTACTATAATAATGGAAAATTTCTTATATGTTTTGCACTGCTTAAGCACTTATCCTATTTAAAGTCTGTGAACTTCTAAGCTTCCAACAAACGCTCCCAAGAGTGCAGTGAAAACACTTCTGAGCAGCAAAGCCAGGGGTCATCTGGTTTAATCTCAGTTTCTCGGCACCAATCAAATGGGGTGTCTACAAAAGTTCCATAAAGATCATTTAAAAGTGCATCTCTAAACTATATAACTATTCTGTTTAATAGGCATCATAAGAGATGGAGATACAGCTCTGCAATTAAGAGTATTTGCTGCTCTTGCAGAGGATTGGGGTTCAGTTCCTGGCACCTTCATGGTGTCTTACAATTGTCTATAGCTCCAGTTTGAGGGGATCTGATGCCCCCATCTGGCCTCTGTGGGTACCAGGCAATGACATGATGCACTTACACACATGCAGGCAAAGCACTCATATACATAAAATAAAAATAAATATTTTTAAAAGCATGCTAAAATTCTTCTTTTAGTGAAATTATGTATTTTAGAAGCTGCAACCAAACGAAGATTTCTTTTTTAGAATAGCTGCAACACTGAGACTTGAAAGAATCTTTAAAAAATCTATGGCCCCCTAAGGAATCAAACCTGTAAGGAAAGTTCTTTCATCATGATGCCTTTGATTCAGGCAGCTCACAGCTCACGGGTTAAGAATTGAGTTTTGCTTTCATGCCTGTTGGGCTCCATGACATGAGACAAGCCAGACTCTAATTTCTCGTATTTAAAGAGAATCACCCATGCTTCCCTAATCAAAGAGAAAGGTTCTAACACTACAGGCAAAAACACTACATTTTTAAGAAAATGCCCAAATGAAAGAAAAGAGAGCTCAATATTGTCGACTTGTTCTCACCTGCGTAGCAGCCAGTGTGTCTCCAGAGTCCCCACGGGTGACCATAGCATCCTTTTCACCTATCCACGCTTCCTCTTCCTCAGCATTCTCCATGAATTGCAGGTACTGCAAAGACTCTTCCAACTGCACCCCTCTGTACAGGGTGGTTAGCCACATAGAGGTAAGAAAGAACGGGTGAACAGTGGGATTGCATCATGGTGGCACAGTTCCCTCCTGGTTCTCAGGACAACCACAGCTGAAGAACACAATATGTGTTCCTAATGGCCAATAGAATTGATATCCTGTGACATGGAAGAGATTCCTGCCCTAAAAGTTCACTTTGAAATATCATCTGCTCTCTAGGAACCTTTGCTGAAGAAAGGAAACCCGACCGAAGCAAAAGACAATACCGACTTTGGGGTTGGAGCGCCTTCACAGCGAGGCAGTATCTCTTTTTGTGTCAACCACTGTCCTTCTTCTTATTTGATAAAGGTAATTGCAAGGCTACAAGTTCCTTTTTATTCTCCAGAAAGGAATATCTTCCACAACTTATGTGGGAAAACTTCACAGAGGACTGTTTTTTCTAAATTATATTTTTATTGACTTTCTGCAAATTTCATATATTTTGAACATATTTAGATGCCCTCCCTATCTGCACCCCGCCAGATTTCACTTACTCTGGCATATATAAAGGTCAACTGAGCCAAGTTTGTGTCCCCAAATGTCCTTTGGTGTGGGTTCATCCACTAGAACCTGGTTAACCTACCTAGCATTGCATACTTAGAGGAAACCAATTCTCCGTCTCCCAGTAGTTCTTGATTGCCGGTAGTTCCTCAGGTAAGGTTGGAGCGTCTTACCTACTTCTCCACTTCTATCCTGGGATTCTGTATAACTTCAGCTTGCATGGGTCTTATGCATGCTGCTACCATTGCTGTAAGTTCATATAAGTATCTTCCCAACTATCTAGAACACTGCTCCATCGTGGTCATCCACCACCTCTGGCTCTTAAAAAATTTCCACTGCCTCTTCCACAATGGTATATATCCTTATATTTACAGACAAGTGTACCTCTCACCATGCATCAAAGAAGTTTCTTTTTGCAACAGATGAATACTATTACAAAGTTCCAGAACTGGTCAAATGCAGAGAATAATTGCCTATGAGGTGTCAGGCCTAAGTGACATATTCACAATTCAATCTCTACACTTAAGGCTCAGGGAACATAGCAGAATAGGGGGAAGAATGAATATGAATGCATCTCCCAACTCTCACGAGCAAGGATTTGTTTTTTTATCAGATAGAAAAGGTAGTCAGGGACAACAGTCTATGCTGAGCCTGCATGTAAGTATTTTCCCAGCATCAAACCAAATCTCCAAACCTAGGAGCATCACTGGGCTTTCTGTCCCCAACTCACCGAGCCTTGGCCAGCTCTTTGAGTTTCTCCCAGTGCTGGACAAACTGAGCCAGTCGTTCCTGGATCTCCTCTTGCCCCATGGCAGCCTTGTCTCTCAGCCTCTCTGCCATGTCCAACACATTCTGAAGAACACATATTCCATGTTTCATTATCCAACAGTCCTCTCCCCATTCAGTCGTGATTTATGCCAATGCATATTTTCTTTCCTAGTGTCCAGGCTATCCATGTGCTCATGGGACTTGATGTGGTCCTGGAAATGCTATGCTATCAGGATGCAGGAAGCTACAGCAAGATCTAACATACTAAACTTGCCTAAATCTTTTCACAAATATCTCAGCAATCGGAAAAGACTATTCCCTTTGTTCTGCTTTATGAATTATTCATAGCACAGGGAGACTCTGCTGCCAGGACAGATATAGAGTTATCTTTACCAGATAGCCCAACTCACATTCCAGCTATCAGTAGTGACTATCCAGCAGTGTTCAGAATACTCTTTGCAGGTAAAAGTATGGCTTCCTGTCCTTCTGGATACAAAATATGCACAAGAGAAGAATTCTTCTGAACCCTGTGAGTAGCTCTTTCTGCACACTACTTTTGCATTTTAGCATTGACTTATCTAACTACAACAAAGAACTGCTACTAGATGATTTCTGTCTCTTCAGGTCTTAAATTCGAAGCATACCTGGACTGCAGGTTCATGTGCTACTAGCTCCCCCTCTAGGCGCCTGTGCTTTTTCAGTAAGTTCTGGACACCCTGAAGATCCCTCCCATAGTCTTGGGAGCTCACTCGTAGCAATTTCTCCCTAGAAAAAGAACACAGAAAATTAAGAGATTAGATATATGTGAGGTTATCCTACAAGAACCTTCTAAGCATATGTGTGTGGGGAGCTGGTGAATTCTGGTATACTCTTGTGCCAGTATCAAAAGATAAGTAGCAGCAGAAACTTTAAGAAAAACTTCTGATTCATGTCAATACAAATTGAAATAACATACTGATATTCACCGTGCACACAGCTACAGAAGCCTCCTGAGTATTACCTATTTACCTGTGTATCACATCGTTTTTCCTCAAGAACATATGCTAAAGTTTTTCTTTTGTAAAACTATGAAAATTAGGGAAAGATGACTCACAGCACTTGCTCTTGCAGAGGACTGATTTCAGTTCCCTGCACCCACATCTGGTTGCCCACAACTACCTGCAACCCTCCTCTGACCTCCGTGGGCACCAGTACACATGTGCCATATATCCATATGCATATACACATATTCACATGCACATAATTAAAAATAAAAACAAATAACTTGCAATATGAAATTTACATGAGATTTATTATTTTATTGTTTTTTATTTTTGTTATTGCAAAGCCAATTTATTTATTTGCATTTTTTACTTTGTTAAGAGTTTCATACATTAATGCTATATTTACATCATTTCTACACCTCCCTCTCTCCCTTCCAAATCTTCCTCCATTTTCTCCACTCCCTCTCAATTTTCTGACCACTTCTTTAATTATGATTATTATTCATACACATATATATATATAATCTATCATCTATCATTTATCTACCTATCTATCTATCTATCTATCTATCTATCTATCTATCTATCTATCTATCTATCTATCATCATCTATCTGCAACCAGTTGAATCTTTTAGTGGTGACAGTACAAACATGTATTTAGGGCTAATTACTTGGAATTAGGTAAACTATCAGGGAGCTCGGCACTAGAGAAAACTGATTCTCCCCCTCAGCAGCTATTGATTGTCTATAACTCTTCATCTAGAGGCATGAATATGTTAAATTTCCATGTCCATGTGAGGATGTCAGCTGGTGCTGTCACTGTGTAGATATGACTTAGGCAACCATATTGTTGACATTTCATTAGTGCAGCTTCCATTTCGTATATTAATATTAATAATAATAACTAAGAATAAAGCTTAGTGATAGCCTAGAGTTTAATCCTGAACATTAACATATATATATATATATGTGTGTATGTATGTGTGTACATATATAATAATTTTATCTATAATGATCATAATAAATCGGTAATGTAGAAGTAATGGGAGTTCAGGTGGCCTCCAAGTATAACATGTTTGAATATCATCATGAAGCAATGTCAAAGACATCAAGATAATGATATTTGAAACTACTAAAGATGCCTTAATTTATGCCTTATAAACTATATTTCTTTATAATTCCTTTATTGCCCATAACAATCAGCATATTTTTAGAAGAAGTAATGTTAACAGGTTAATTATAAAGTAGGCAAACTGATGATTTCCTAAGATGTTTCCCAGTTATATACCTTTTTAGAAATTTGTTTTTAATTTTATGTGTAGGACTTTATTGCCTGCATGTATGTGAGTGCACCTGTGTCGTGCAATGTCACGGAATTCAGAAGAGGGTTTCAGACTCTGCTGGAACTGGAGTTAAGGATCTGTGTCCTCTGCAAGAGCAGTCAATGCTCTTCACCACTGAGCCATCTCTCCAGCCCCAGTTTTAAACTTTTTTAAACAAAAATGTGGTTATCAGTGAAAGTATGGGCGATATTGTGCCATTTTATCCATCTGGTGCCCTCTTCAGTGTCATGTACATACTAGATAAGGAAACAAGAGGCACAGTGTGATCTGTTGGGGAAGCTGCAGATATTCTGCTCTCTAGTACAATTCTTATTGAAAACAAATACATATAACATCTGAATTGGATTCCCAGTGTGTAGGCAAACAGCTTCTCCTCTCTCCTCTGCCTGCATCTGCTGAAGGGAAACAATAAAATCAATGTCCACTGTAGACTGAGGTAGATATTATTAAAAGGTAACATAAACATAAAAAACTTACAAATTATTTAAGCATGAATTTAAGACTGATCGATTGCCCAGTCTACTCTCCAATTTCCCTCACAAGTTGATGATACCCACTCTATCCAGGCTTCCTCATCATCCAGGTCCTGAAAGAACTGGAACAGAGCATAGGCCTCTTTCAGTTTCTCATGATGTGCAGCTGCCAAGCTCTGGACATTCTGGAAACGTTCATTGACTCCATCCATTTTCTTTTCTATCTGGTCAATGTTGAAAGTCCCACTGGAGATCAGTTCTTTAGCCAAATTATTCAGGTCTTTGAGAGGGTCCTAGAAAACCCAGAGTGCTCAGTGAATGGGAGACTATAGGTGTTATAGATACCCCAAACCAGTCAATAAATGTTCTGGTTCCATGACTAGGTCTAATAGATTGATTCTGAAAGCAGTGGATTTGATATTATACACTATGAAGTGTTTCACATAACTTTGGTTGGACAGGAGGCCTATTTAAAAGCAATACAGGTAACATGGCTACTTCACTCCAAATGTACATTTATTCTTAAGCAATATATTCCTCCTCTTCCTCCAATGTTCAAGTGAATTTGCCTGGCCTTGCCAACTGGAAAACAAGACCTTTGTGAGTAATTCCTGGCCCCTGCAGGACCGTGTTTCTTCATAGTGTGGAATTTGGTAGTTGAAAACTGATTGATCGATATATTCAACAATATCGACTCGATTTTTTAATATATATTTAAACTGGTAACATAACACACCCAGGTTCTTGTCTTTACCCATTCTCATGCACCCTGACTAATCCTGTAACTGGAAATATTACAAAATCCCAAAGTCTTAAACCTAGAAAGTCTTTGACTTTGACTTTGACTATTTTTCAAATGCATATTTGTTTTAGTATTACCAGACAAAACTGATCTTCTCTAATTATCCAGTACTGAATTAATATATGTCAACATTTGGTCACTTTTTCCATTAGATTGCAACTAACATCTTCCATAGGACTTGTAGAATGTACGTGCACGTCAAATTCCTTGCATTCTCCCACCTGATTTTATCCCTTTTCTTTCTAATTTTGTAATTCCAACTTCCATTTCTTTCAAAGACCAGATCAAATTTGTTCTTTGGGAAGTGTTAAGTTTATATACATGCATCAGTAGAAAGATAAACAAGATGATTTTGGGGATCCATTTCCCGGGCTTCAATGGCAATTGACAATGATTGCTATAATGACTGTGTAGCCCACAGATTTCACCTGGCTAAAGTGACTGCTGATCAGAAACTTCAAGGCCACTTTTACAAGGTTGTATTCTCAAGTGTTTTCCTAACAGGATGAAGGAAGGTCAGAATCATACCCACTCTTCCCAGAGCAGTGGGATTCCAGCACAACCTACCTCTCGAGCCAACATCTCTGCTTCCAGTAACTGATGCTTCTTAAGCAGGTTTCCAGCTGAAGCTAAGTCCCTGGCCTGATCTTTCATGGCCAGCAGCCCTTCTGCCTAGGAACAGAGAAATAAGGAAGAAAGCTAGTAGGTAAAAACTATTTAAGGAGAATAAGATTTGACAACTGTGTTCCCCAGACATTTTCCAAGAAGGGTTAAGGAAACCACTCATATATAAATTCAGTCACTCAGCAAGAATTTATTAAATTCCCATGTTCCTACCATTTTAAGGTGAAATTACCTCTGAAAGCCAGAATTCAAAGTCCCGGATGCTTGTGTTGAACCTTTGCTGGCGACTAGCCTCATTGAGCTTCTGCCCTTTGTCAGTTGTTCTCTCAAGGAGATACTCCCACTTCTCCTTTAGCTTGTCCAGTTGGTCCTAGTTCAGAGAAAGTGAGAACTTACTGATCTTAGGGATCATGAACCCTGTGAGAACTTGAAAGGATAATGTGGGCAAGTGCTGGATATAGACATTAACTAAAATTTGAGGATACCTGAATGTTGACTTTCAAACTAGACACACTTAATCTGGGAAAACATGGGGGCATTAGGTGAAAAGTCTGAAAAGAGGATGCTAAGCTGTATCCAGTGACTGATGTCCAGATGCCAAAATATTCTTGGCAATAGAGATAGACAATGTAAAACAAGCACAGTAAGGCAGGGTGAGGTGAAAGCTTTGTTGTTCTGGGAACTGGGAACTGATATGGAGCTATATGGTCTGAGCAGCACTGACACCTTTCTTTGCACATTACTAGGATGACGGTGACCCCAGTAGCATGACACATTTCTACTTCTGCCCATGAAGCACTGAAGGCACGTATCTTCATATGCCTTTGCAGCCACACTTGGCTGAGTGGGACCCTTACCTTCACGTTCTCTTCATCACCATCACATGCCCTGCGCTCAATTAGGGACTTCCCCAGACTGATGACTCCTTGCACCTGATCTGCACGACCATTGACTTCATTTTCAAAGGTCTGGTGTTTTAGGTATTTCCTCTGAAGGCAAAGCAAAAGCTAAATTACCCTCTCATTGAATGAAATAGAATTAGACCCCAAAACAAACAAAACCCTCAAACCAAGCAGTCAGTATTGGGGGTGTCCATTCAAACAAATTCAACCAGTGGTGAAAATTTCCAAGATGCCTTTTTTGAACTTGCCTGAATGTTAGTGGGGTCTTTGTAAGATTCATCACAGGCTGTGGGCAGCATCTCATCCATCCATTCCTCCAGCTCCTCAAAGTCCCGATAGAACTGTTTCAGGTCCGCATAGTCCCCAAGCTTTCCCAGTTCAGCAAGCAGTTGTTCTTTGAGAGCCTTCCATCTGGAAGATGGGACCAGATCATTCTCTTCCCTCCACCCTGCCCCTCTATTCCAATGTCATGTGCATTGCATTATCCATTGTCCAGCCTGGCCCTCTGCCTTTCATGGAATCTCTCTAGGTAAAGCAATCTAAAAGTACTTTTCATGTTTTTATCCTACAGGTCTACATCAGAAGTCTCCTAAGGAATATATCTCCAAAGGAGAAGAATTCAAAAGTATTCCACCACCTCCAATGCTAAAGCAGAGGAGTCTTTGCCATATCTCTCTGCAGCAGCAGGTCTGACCTGTCTAGCACCCGCTGGAGCTGAGCAGCAATCTCTTCTTTGGCATAATGGTCCTCATCTATGAGTCGAGCAGCAAAATGCTCTAGGTCAGCAATCTTCCCTTCCTTGATAAAGAAAAAAAAAAAAACATGCTGGAGATTAGGTCGTTGATATAATCTCAGGCTTGTTCTTACAGGTAACCATATTATTTTTTTGTGGCTTCAGAGGACAATCCAGCACCAAAAATTAAATGCCTGACAGAGAGAGAAACATCTACCATGCTGCAATAATTCTGACTTCCCTGCCAAACAAATATTTCTCATGGCCATTGTAAAGGATGAATCTGTCATTGTGTAAGATGTCGAAACGACAGCTGCATAAAGCCACATTTAGTCCTAAAACATCTGTTCCTGCTATCCACTATCTGTCCCCGCTAAAAGACTCTTTCCTTCCCTTCTTTCCTGAGCTCTGTGCATGCTCACTCCCACATGGAAGCACTTATATAAAGTTCAAAGAGCAGATCCACATATGACATAGAATGTCCCATGTTTGTCTTTCTGAGCTTATGTTGGGATTCCTGGGGTCCCATTCCTCCCTGAAGATTTATAGGAAGTTATATGAGGAAAGGAGAGACATCTTATTCATGGTATTCCTGTAAACAAATTTTTATAAGTACTAATTTTACTCATTGATTCATAAGAGAAGAAAGGGAAAAGATAGAAAAACAAAAGAAAAAGAAAGAAAGAGATAGAAACAAGAAAGAAAGAAAGAAAGAAAGAAAGAAAGAAAGAAAGAAAAAGAAAAAGAAAAAGAGAACAGAAAGACACACAGGAAAGTAGAAATGGGGCTAGTTAGGAAAAAGAATGGATAAGCATCAGCATGAGGAGGGACAAGGGAGGTTAAAGGGGCTAATATGATTGGAATACATTATGTACATATATGAAAATGTCAAAATGAAACCCATTATTATACATAATATATACTAATAAAGCAACTTTAAAAGAAGCAAATGTGAATTAAAGGATGTTAAAATCACCAAACAAGACAAAATTTAGGGTATGTGTTATTGTTAATAGTTATTGTTGGAACTTGTACATTGGTTATTACCTGGGTAGCAATTGCTTTGTTTAAATCATCACGTTTCTTCATCAAAGCCTGCAGACTGTTTAAGTAATCCCTGTCATCTGACCTCAGGGAATTTTCACGTGCCACCATCCAGCTCTCCAGCTGTTCACAGTTCCCTCGGAAAAACTATAGGGAGTGAGACCAGAAGCATACATTGTGTTTTGTCCAGATAGACCTGCGAAATGATCTTAGTCTTTTCTGATGCTGATGACACAGAACATCCTTCCAGGGATACTAACAGTACTCCAAGAAGCAGTCTTACGATGAGTCTCAACTATACTGACACTTTGTTCTTTCCTGAGAACATACTTTATGCCTTTTATAAGCTATGCCAAATCAGGAGATACTGTTTTACCTACTGTACATCTGCTAGATGCTGACAGGTTGCTTCTCTCTTTCTGCTATTTATCTGTTTTTCTTTTCTTTCCTCTCTTCCTCCCTTTCACCCTTGTTTCCTTCCTTTATTTTCTTTTTTTAAAGACAAAGTCTCATGTACCCCAGGATAGCCTGATTCAATATAGAACCAAAGATAACCTTGAAATACTGATTCTTCAGCCCCTACTTCCCAAGTGCTGAGATCACACATATGCCCTGACTTCTTTAAAATTTTGTTAATATAACTCATAGATGTATCCTGTGATATTCACACATTCTTCCCTCAAGAGGTATAATCATTACTTCTTCTTCATCCTCAAAGTACCCTTACAGCTGGATTTACTAGTAGTCATTTCCTCTCTTAGAATAATATATATCACATGTTTGATTTTATTATTTATAAAAAAATTATCTCTTCTTAACCTTTGTGCCATTATGGTCTGCACATAGTAAGTTCTCAATGAAAATCAGTCCTATAATTAATAAATGGCAATCACTCCATTCATGACCAGGACTCAACCACTATCCTATTTCTCTTTCTTTTTTTAAGGTTTTTAATTTTAAGCTTTATGCTATTATTATTACTCTGTGTGTGTGTGTGTGTGTTGTGTTGTGTGTGTGTGTGGTCTCTGTGTATGTGCATATGCATATTCACATGCATGTGGAGGTCAGATGATAACATTAAAGAGTCAGCCTCTCCTTACTTTATATGATTTCCAATATTGAACTCAGGTCATCAGGCATGTGCAGCAAGCATCTTTACTCACTGAGCCATCTCACTGGCCTTGGTTTGTCTCTTTGAACAGTGATAAGAGCAGTGAACAGGAGTGTTTAGTCTACAGAACATAGTACAGTGCCCAATAATCCAGTCACCCTTGTCTTCACAGCTCACAGAGTCTATGCCTTGAGTGACTATAATAAGCACATAAAACTGCTTCAAGGAACTGAAGCTAAACTTCAACTATTAGAAGTTGCTGTACCTGGAGTTCTAGACATTGGTCTAGCATCTTCTTGCGTTTTTCCCAATCCTTCTCCAAATCATCTCTCTTTAGTTTAACAGTTTGAAGTGTGTTTTCAATGTCAGGGCTGTTACAGTGTCCTCTATCTATAAGTTCTGTTCCAAAATCTTCTAAGGCCTGGAAGGTGGGTGCTTCTGCCTGCATGTCAGCATGATGCTCCTGTGGGAAATGTAGGAGTGGGACTGGTGAGGAAACTCTGTAGGAACTTTTGAAGTGAGAAGAGGGTCACATGTTAAGTGATTAGTGTCTGTGGGGTTTGTAGCCATACCTGGTGTCGTTCCAGCAAGATCTCTGTGCCAGTTAAGTCCTCGGCCAGCTCAGGTGATGATATCATGCCACCAATGCCTTTCATCCAATTATCTAGGTCACTGGAGAAGCAGAAATATTGGGATCAACCATGGTTACCCTTATTCTCCTCTGCCTTTCCAGCAGTAAGAAAATTCCTATCCTCCAAACCCCTGACACACCACTTTGTGTTTAATATGTACTGTATAAGAGATTACTTCATTGGCCTGTGTGGCTTCACATTCCTTAAAGCATCAGTATTTTATTGAAGCATTGAATCTGGCATTTCTGTGCCTTACCAGAGTTGAGACTTGGACACAGCAGGGAATAGCATCTGTGCCCAGACTCTTCCTAGAGGCAACTGATGGAAGCTTTTACAGTGCCTGGGGAAGTCTGCCTTTTGAACCTTACCTGGCTTTGCTGAGGAATTGGTAGAATTTCTGAGCCTCGTTCAGGCTTTCCTTACGATCATTTGTGAGACTCTGCAGGACAGCCCAGGCTTCATTCAGCTCTGTTCGCTGTTTCTGCAGATCTTCAGTGGCATCTGGGTGGGACTCACAGAGACGCTCAGCTGTCTCTCCCAATACAGTCACCTGTGTAAACACAAAAGCTCTGATAACCATGTGGCAGATCTGTGAAAGGACAAAATTGACCTTACTATTCTTTTAAAATAAGAAGAAGGCGTTGAGTAATGTTACTGCTAAGATCAGTTAGGGAGCCCATGTGTGATGGTTGGAATAAAAATGTCCCCCATAGGCTCCAAGTGTTTGGACATTTTGTCCCCAGATGATGGAGCTGTTTTGGGAGGTTTTAGAAGGTGTGGCTATCCTGGGGGAATGTGATGGCTAATTCTGGGTGTCAACTTGATTGGATCTGAGATTAATTGAAATGAAAGAGATCTTCTTGATTGGATCATCTAAAGCCAGAAGACACACCCTAAATGTGGGCGTTACCTTCTGATGGCAGCCGGTATAAAAGACCAAGGCAGAGGAGAACACGGGGCTTTTTGCCGCTTGCCTTCTCTCTCTCTGGTGAGTTCGTCTTGCTGCTGTAGACCGAAGACTAGTTGATATTTTGGAATTTGTCAGACCTTCAGCACTGGATTGGGACTACTGAGACATCCAGCCTTGTGGACTGAGCGACTACAGATTCTCAGCCTCTCCAGTGTGGTGCAGCCATTGTTGGACTACTCGGACTCTATCCTGTGAGCTAAGATGATAAATCTCTATACATATTCATTCTACTGGTTCTGTTTCTTTGGAGAACCCTGACTAATACAGGGACGCACATCACTGGGGGTGGGCTTAGAGAGTTTGTAAGCCTTGCCAGATCTCTAGTTGCTCTCTTCCTGTGCCTGTGTGATGATGTGAGAGCTTAGCTTCTGCAGCTCCTGCTCCAGCCACCTCCAGCCACCATGCCTCCCTGCCATGATGGACTGCAATTCCCCTGGAACTGTAAGCTGAAATAAACTCTTCCTTCTATAAACTGCTTTGGTCAGTGTTTCCATCACAGCAACAGAACAGAGACTAATACAGTAATTATTACCAGTGGGCTGCTGGGTGTGTAGAACCTGACCATGTTGGGTTTTGAAGAAATGTACAAGACTTTGGAATGTTGGGCTAGAAAAGCAGTTGATTGCTCCAAGTGGAGCTTAACAGGCCATTCTACTAGATGCCTGGAAGAAAGTAGTGCTGAGAACAATGTAGTTTCAGAGGGAAATAAGGACCTAAGCAACACTTGGGATATTTTGGCAAAGAGTCTGGCTGGAGTCTGCCCTAGACCAAAAAGCTTGCCTGATTCTAAGTTGAAAAGTAATGGACTAATTTCTTTGATGGAAGAAATTTCAAGACAGCCTAATGTAGAAAGAGAGGAGTGGCTATTAATGGTAAATATTATGCAGATCTACAGTTAAAGAGAGCAAGTGGGGCAGAAAGAAATACAGTTTAGTTTGAAAAAGGGCACTAGGAAGATAAATGTTGGAGCCCTGGCATCTGATGGAGAGGATCCCATTGATAAAGAAATTAAAGCGATTAAGGAGATTAAAGTGATTATGGAGGGGCCTAGATATTTGGACTTAAACAATGGAGAGAGTGCCTCAAGAGCAAGACCACACCCATTTAAGCCTCCAACTTGTGAAAGGAAAATGCTGCAGAGACCACTGAAGAGAAAACTTCTAAAGTGGATAAAACAGGCTGGAGTCCATCCCAAACTTGCAGTCAAACTTGGCAGTGTCATTCACTTGGTGCTGGCTTTAGAGGCGTGAAAAATGTAAGAGTGAAGGGGTCATCAATTCTTCCTCTGTGGTTTTAAAGAGCTGCTGAGGCCAGGCAGCGTGCAGCAGGGGTTCCTCTGCGTAGAGAAGGCCCTGATAGGTCATTGCGTGAAGCTGTGAAGGTGAAGCCTGGTTGGCAATGGAGACCCCAAGAAGTTCATGATGCCAGAGCTGTGAGGGATCTGCCAAGAAGACCTGCATACAGGGAGTGGTACCACCACAAGAGTCCATTGCGTGAAGCTGTGAAGGTGAAGCCTGGTTGGCAATGGAGACCACAAGAAGTTTATGATGCCAGAGCTGGGAGGGATCTGCCAAGAAGACCTGCACACAGGGAGTGGGACCAGCACAAGAGAGAGATGTGTGTGGCACACAGCAAAGCTAGAGAGGCTGAGCCATCTAAGCCCTTTGGAAGTAAAGTCCCAGAAGTCGGACATGGAGTTACTGGATTTGGTGTTTGCCCTGCTGGTTTTTGGTCTTGTTTTGGTCTGGTATTTCCTTACTATGCCTCCATTTTTCCCTTTTGGAATGGTAATGTGTATTTGGTTCCACTGTATGTTGGGAGTATGTAATTTGTCTTTTGATTTTACAGGGGCTTACACTTAAGACACTTTGCTGAGTCTCAGAAGAGACTTTGGACTGTAGACTTTCAATAGTAGTGCAGTTGATAATGACTATGGGGACTTTTAAAGTTGGACTAAATGCATTTTGCATTTTATATGGTCATGAGCCTATGAGTCGGGGTGGAATGTGATGGTTTAAAAGAAAATGTTCCCCATAGGTTCCAAGTAGTTGGACATTTTGTCCCCAGATGATGGCACTGTTTTGGGAAGTTTTAGAAGATGTGGCAATCCTGGAGGAAGCACATCACTGGGGGTGGGCTTAGAGAGTTCTTAAGCCTTGCAGGACCTCCAGTTGCCCCTCTTGCTTCCTGTACCTGCATGATGATGTGAGAGCTTCACTTTCACTGCTCCTGCTCCAGCCACCTCCAGCCACCATGCCTCCTTGCCATGATGGACTGTAATTCCCCTGGAACCATAAGCTCAAAAAAACCCTTCCTTTTATAAATTGCTTCAGTCAGTGTTTCTATCATAGCAACAGAGCAGTGACTAATACACCATGGGTTCATATTCTTCATGTGAGCACCTTTATTGTGCTCTGCCTGACAATGCCAAACTACCAGTTGCCTCCAATATACCTGGAAAGATCCAGAATTTCCTTTGGAGTTTGAGGTAAGATTAAACTTACTCAACTCCTGCAACAATGCCCAGGCATAGGCTTCACTCTCCTGGGTACGGCTAGTCTTCTAGACCATTAACACACTACCACTCACTGCAAATCTACTCATTTAACACTCTCTAAAGAGGCACAGGGATATAGAATTCACATTTAGACAATAGAAGCTCAATATAATTTTCCTTATGGTAACAGTTATGGTGTTTTGATGCTTGAATGGCCTTGCCTTAGGGAAAGGAAGCACAAAAATGACCATAGTGCAACTCGGAGAAGTGTGTGTGAGTAACAGATGGGGCAAGGGAACCAAAGAATGGCACAGTGGTATAGGCATAAAGATGGAGAAGGTGTTAGAAAGATCCAGATAAAGTCTTACCTTTTCTCCCAGAGGTATAATGTCTCTCTCAAAGACTTCATGCTGCCGCTGGAGGGCCTGAACACTGAGCAAGTCAGAACCAGGGTCAGCAGCACTAAGAGCCCTACACTTCTTATCAATCTGTTCCTTGATATCATCTGCTTCCCTGGAACACAAAAGAGTGAGGAGTTTAGGAGTAACGATATGCCCCAGAGCACTGGCTTGCAGGGAAGCCGTCATCACCACCACCACCTCCCACATCTTCATTCTTTTGATGTATCAGTATTTAGGCTCCTCTTATCTACAGGCATGCATGCTATTAGCATTTCCATTATATGAATCAGAAAACTCAAACTTAAAGATTTCTCAAGATAGTAGCACTGCCAAGTGGTAAAGAACAAGTTTGAACCAGGGGCTCTAACTGCAGTCACTTAATGCTTAACCATTACATTTCACAGCTTTGCCTGCAGAGCCACATGCTTAAGCATTACATGTCACAGCTTTGCCTGGTAAGTTATTACAGACAGCCATAGCCATACAATCTCTGTTTTCTCTTCTCTGCGTCTTCAAAAATACACTTATATGTAGGACAGTATTTTGTTTCTTTTTGTTTGTTTGCTTATGTATTTGTGAGAAAGTTTATGTTTCATAGCATAAATGTAGATTTGAGAATGAAGCATTTAAGGAAGTATAGAATATTGCATCAATGTGAGCTCAGTTGTCCTTTATTCTCTTGTTTCAAGAATTTAATGACATAAAACTGATTCACATTTCAAATTTGAGTCTCTATCATAGACGCATATTTAAACTAACCTTGTGCTAGGACCCAAGCTGAGCACTAAGAAATAGAACTTGACTATCTTGGAGTAGCTACTGTGTAAGTAAGGGAACTGTTATTGAAAAATCTGATCAGCCAATAAACTGTTTCGCAAGGAAAAGTTATGCATTGCTAGTTATGGTTCTACACAGTGATTAGACTTTAGGGCTCTTCAAAGGGGTTCAAGAAGAACAACATTATTTAGAGTTAGGATGCTTACCTGTGAAACATCTCAACAGCATGGGCACTGCTTAGCAGCTGATGCTGTTCATCTGCCAGCCTCTTCAAAGAATGCCAGCGGGTATTCAGCTCCTAAAAGACGGATTTAGTCAGAAGGCTAGTCAGAAGGATCGATGGCATCTGTGACTACCTGACTATAAACTATTGCTTTCCTGTTAGCTCTTCAGAGAGTATATAGTTCCACTTTCCTCTTGGGTGGCCCGAACTTGGTCACATTCTAGGCAAAGAAAGAGAGTTCTAGGTAGGAACATGGACCTTGATGCAATAATCACTGCTTACAGTAGTAAACTACATTACAACATATAAAATGAATAAAAAGCATCAACTTGGTAGGTAGAAGTTGGCACATTTCCTCAGGCAAACAGTTCCTACCTGAACTTTGTATTAGATAGTGCTGGTGGACTCTTAGAGCTTCACTTGAGTAAAGGATAAACACCATGTTTTCATACACATCCCTTCTAGTTCCAATTTCAGGACAGTTACCACAAAAGAGGAAAGAACTCATCCTCAGGTTTATGACAACCAAGACAGCAAGACTGGATTTTCAATAAATTCTCATTAAACCTTTTATAGAATCAATGTTCTAGACACAATTGAGGTAAAGAGCTCCCTCTGTCCGGTGTCAACAGATGATGAGACACTTAACTTCTTCTTCATCATCATCATGCTTATCAAAACCAGTCTCTTCCAGTAAACTTTCTTGGCTAACTTCTCATCATTGCAGATTCTTTTGTGTGCTTTCTTTGCACTCATGTGCTTGAGTATTCAGGTTCTCATGAGTGGCAATGAAAGGTAAGAATGAATTGATGTAATGGATTTCAGGTCATTTAAAGTATGTATAGCTCAAAATTCAAATTCAAAATAATCTATGATTTGGGACAGGTCAGAAAGTAAAAATTTTATGTTTTATTTTATGGAACACAGTGACAAAATCTGAAAGGAAATTTAGAAATTGTTCTGCACAATACACTTGGGTTTCAAATTAGGTAGTAGGTCTTTAGAAATGAGTTTCCCAACAGACAGACAGACACACACACACACACACACACACACACACACATACATTGAGCCAGAACCTAAATCCAGTTTTCCTAATGTCTCATCCATTATTCGCTAATCTTCCTTGTGAGTGTGTGTGTGTGTGTGTGTGTGTGTGTGTGTGTGTGTGAGTGAGTGAATTTGATAGGCTGAAGCTTCATGTCTTCCTCAGTTGCTGCCCACATTATTTTTGAGACAGGATATCTCACTGAACTCAGAGCTTACCAGTTGGGCTAGACTAACTGGAGATCAAGGTTTGGAGAGCCTCTGCCCACTCACCCTCCCCTGGTGCCTTACTACACTACACACATACTCTGCTGTGCCCAGTTCTTACATGAATTCTGAGGATCTGAAATTAAGTCCTTATGGTTGCACAACAAGCAGTTTACTGACAGGGTCATCTCTCTAGTCCCTAAACTTCCTAATACTATCTCTTGAAGAGAAATATGAATTCATAGTCTTGGAATTTTTGTTCTTCAGCCTTCAAAACGTGTGTGTGAAAACAATAGAAGACAGTCAAGAGATGCACGCTCATAAAACCACTTTAATGAAGTTCATCAGGCAATAAAAATGGCTGAGTTCTTTGGATTTTACCCTTGGCCTTTTCTATAGCCAGTTTCATAATGTCTTTACACTCTGTCTTTGGGATGTCAAGTGAATATTCTGGAGCCCAACTCGGTGTTGAGCAATGGAGGGAACCTGTCGCTACCTGTCGGATGTGAGCTCCTTCTGGAGTCAGGAGATCTTCAAACAGCAGTTCATCAGCCACCTTGTTGATGTCCTTTAGACGAGGCTCATTTGTCTTCAGATCCTAGATGAAAAAAATTCATTCAAAGCAGGGTAAATTCTCTTCCTCAAATGCTCCAAACTTGCTTGTTCATCTTGGTCTACATGTAGCTAAATATTATTAAAGAAAACTGTCAACTTCACATGCAATATACAAGCTGCCCTCCCCCCATTGGCCACTGAAGAGTGCCCTTGAATACTCTGACACTGAGTACCCACCAAAACCTTGCCAGAAGTACAATATATATTTTACTGAATTTTTGTGCATTTCATACATCTCAAACATATTTAGACTTCCCACAGCAGTACCCCTGGCTTTGAATTTGGGTCACTTGTCTTCCCACCTCAAAGGACATTGCTTACTAGTTCTTAACACCTACAATGCTCAGGGTAAGATATGAACTGTGGAGACTCAACAACTTTGGGAAAGATATTTAACAAGTAGGAAATAAACAGCGACACAGGCATGGAATTAGAGGAAATTATGACAATCTTCAAAAAATGTCCAGAGAAAGTTCCTCTCTCTTACCCTTTGGAACTCATCGAACTGTTTTTGCAGTTCCCAGACATCATCTAGCTGTAGCCCAGTGTTTTCTGCCTTTTTCTCTTGGATCCAGTCCAGCATGTCCCCTGCCTCATAGGCCAGCAGAAACTCATTGTAACGTTGCAGCAAATGACGTCTGCGTACTTCTGCCCGATCCAGGAGGGAGCGGTACCTGGGTGGAGGAAATAAGAGAATGCAAAAATAATGGGAAAATAATGGGGTAAAAGATGGAGAAAATGCCCATATCTTGTTCTCCTAGCTATGGGGTCAGGCCGGCTTCTACTCTTGGTGCCCCAGACCTCTGGACAACTGTCTTGGCCCAGATCCTCCCACTGTGTCCTGATGCTTTACATCCAGACCAAACCAAACCAATTCTTCAGCCTAGTTTCCTAAAGCCTTCACAGCTTTCTCCCACCCCCAACTTACCTTTGCACACCTGAGACCAGCCTTCTTCACTGGGTGTCCCCACCCTCAACCTGCCTAGGATTCCTCGGACAAGCCTCCTTCCCTGGAAAGTTTGACTCCATCCATTGCACCTTGATTTCCATAACCTGATTCAATTTCCCAGCCCCCACATCATCTCCTTCTGGCCATGGGCACAGGCCAGCTTCTGCTCTTAGCACCCAGACCTCTGTACTACACACTTCGCCCAGATCCACCCACTGCATTCTGATCCTTTGTACCCGGACCAATTCAATTCTTCAGTCTAGTTTCCTAGAGCGTTCACAGCCTATCCCCACCCCCACCTTGCCTTTGCATACCTGATACCAGCCTTCTACCCTGGCTGTCCTCAACCCCATCTTGCCTGGAGTCCCTGAGACCAGCCTCCTTTCCTGACTGCCTGAGATCACCTGAATCCTACCTCCACCTACAAGCCTCCTAAATTGTACTGTGCCTGCTGACTAGGGGACCCAGCTTAGAAGGAAACCTGAAAGCATGTGATTCTGATCTGACTTGAGTCTCTGTGGTAACTCCTGAGCAGCTGACCTAAAGCCATCAGACCCCTCCAATATAAAACCAAAACAGAGAATCTGAAGCCTAGACTAACCAGCTTTTCATACCCAATAAGAAAACAACAAAGGCACATGAGGCATATAAACAAACAGATGAAAACTCAACAAAGGGAGGATTGAATATCACACAAGAATCAGAAACAACAGAAGAAATCCACATGCCAAAGTCATACGGAAGAAAAAATAATAACATGAAAAAACCCCCAAAATATGTCCCCACCAAGTACCAACAATTTTATACAGGAGGTTTACAATGAGAAATCCCTAGAGATAATTCAGGACATAGAACTCAAAAAAAAAGAAAAAAAGAAAAAAAAACACCACCAATTATAAACATGATAAAAGAATCCAAAGAATTTAAAGAACACATAAAGGAATCAAAGACTTGAAAGAAGATAGGCATAAACTTCTGAGTAAATTCCCAAAAGAGTTAGAAACATTGGAGAATACTCAGGCTGAAATGAAGAAGGAAGTGAAAAACTCAATAAGCCAATTAGAAACAACAGGAGAAAGCCTCACAGGTAGAAATGGAAAACAGAATATCATGACTAGAAGATATAGTTGACAAACTGGATCACTCAAGCAACGATTATGAAAAAATTTAAGAAAACACAGGAATGGAATATGCAGGAATCTGTGACACCATTAAAAGACCAAATATATGCATCATAGGCATAGAGGAAGGAGAAGAATCTCAGGATAATGATATGGACCAGATCTTCAACAAGACTCTAGAAGAAAATTTCTCCAAATTAAAGAAAGGCACACTCATAAAAATACAAGAAGCACATAGAATACCATATAGAAAGGACCAGAAAAGGAACTCCTGATGGCATATTATAGTAAAAACACTAAACATACAGAACAAAGAGAGAATATTGAAAGCTGCAAAAGAAAAACAAGCCACATATAAAAGAAAACCCATCCGAAATACAGCTGACTTTTCAGTGCAATCTATGAAAGCCAGAAGAGCCTGGACTAAAGTATTCCCAGTTCTAAATGACCACAGACTCCAACTCAGAATACTTTACCCAGGAAAAAATATCTATTGTAGACGAAGGGGAAAGAAAAATCTTCCATGACATAAATAGGCTGAAGGAATTCATGTCCATGTTCTTGAAGCAATACAAAGGGTTGAAGAAAGGGAGAACTATACCCAAAGGGTTAAGGAAAGAAACTAAATGAAGTTATATGTGTAGGTATGCATAGTTAGAGCAAGAATGTGAACAGAAATAAAAATGACAGGAATCAATACACATCTTTCAATAATAACTTTAAATACCAATGGACTGAACTCCCCAGTCAAAAGACACAGGCTACCTCAATGGATTAAGAAACAAAATCCATCTTTCTTGTTGTCTGCAAGAAGCTCACCTCAACTTCAAATATAGGTACTACCTTAAGGTGAAAGTATGGAAAAAAAATTTCTGAGCAAATGGGACAAAGAAAAAGCAGGAGTTACAATTCTAATATCTGACAAAATAGACTTCTAACTAAAACTAATAAGAAGAAAAAAAGAGGGCCACTTCATTCTGATCAAAGGAACAATTGATCAAGAAGATATAGTCATGAACATATATTCACCAAACTCTGGTTCACTCAACTTCATACAAACTGTACTATAGGACTTTAAGACACAGATTAATCCCAACTCACTAATAGTAGGGGACTTCAGTATCCCCCTGTCTCCTTTAGACAGGTCAACAAGGCAAAATATAAACAAAGAGACATCTGACTTAAACAATACCATACATCAAATAGGCCTAACATACATCTACCAAATATTCTACCCAAGCGCCAAAGAATACACTTTCTATTCAATGCCCCATAGAACTTTCTCCAAAATAGACCACATACTGAAGCACAGAACAAGCCTCAATAAATACAAAAAAATTGAAATAATTCCATGCATTCTATCAGACCACAGCACACTAAATCTTAAAATCAATACCACAACAAACCCTAGTAACTACATGAACTCATGGAGATTAAACAACACACTCCTGAATATTGAATGGGTGAAAGGGGAAATGAAGGAAGAAGTAAAAATATTCCTGGAACTAAATGAAAAGGACAATACAACACAACAGAACCTCTGGGAAACTAAAGAAGCCTTATGAAAGAAGTTTATAGCTCTACGTGCCTATATTAAAAAATCAGAATGAGTAACATTGCAAATCAAAACACTTGAAAAGCAACAGCAAATGAAACCCAAACCCAGCCGACAAGAAGAAATAACAAAAGTCACAGCAGAAATTAATGAAATAGAAACAAAGAGAATACAAAGAATCAATAAATCCAAGAACAAGTTCTTTGAAAAGATAAACAAGATAGACCAGTTAACCAAAAGAAAGAAAGGGCACTTCCAAATCAACAAAATCAGAGGTGAAGGGGAAATATTACAACAGACACAAAGAGATCCAGAACGTTATAAGGGAATGCTTTAAAAATCGGTGTGCTATTAAATTTGAAAACCTGAAAGAAATGCATGTGTATCTAAAATCATGGAAATCACCAAAGTTAAACCAAGAAGAGATCAACAGCTTAAACAGACCCTTAACACATAAGGAAATAGAGACAATAGTACAAAACATCCTGACTGAAAAACAGTCCAGGCCTAGATGGATTCACAGAAGTTTACCAGTCAGCATCACTCTAACATCAAAACCAGGTAAAGACACAACCAAAAAAGAAAAATATAGACCCATATCCTTAATGAACATAAATACATATTTCTCAACAAAATACCTGTAAACTGCATACAGTACAGACACATATGAAAAAGATCATCCATCATGATCAAGCTGACTTTATTCCAGGGATGAAGGGATGTTTCAATATATGTAAGTCAGTAAATGTTATCAATCATATAAATGGGCTCAAATACAAACATTGCATGCTCATCTCAATAGATGCTGAGAAGGTCTTTGACAAAATTCAACATGAATTTATGTTCAAAGTCCCAGATGGAACTGGACTTGAGGGAACATACCTCAGCATAATTAAAGCTATATACAACAAACCCACAGCCAACATTATTCTAAATGGAGAAAAATTGGAAGCATTCATATTAAAATCAGGGACCAGACAAGGTTGTCCACTACCCACCTCCTTTTCTATATAGTGCTTGAAACTCTTGCAAGAGAAATAAGACAAGCAAAGGAAATTAAAGGAGTACTAATTGGAAAAGAAGAGCTCAAACTGTCCCTTTTTATAGATTATATGATATTACATCTAAGAGATGCCAAAAAATTCCACCAGAAAACTCCTAGAAATGATTAACACTTTCAGTAAAGTAGTATGTTATAAAATTAATCTATCAAAATCAGTAGTCTTTCTATATACTAATAGCAAGCATTTGGAGAAAGAATACATGGAAACCCTCCCATTCATAATAGTCTCAAAAAAACTAAAATATCTTGAAATAAACCTGACCAAAGACATTAAAGACCTATACAATGAAAATATTAAAGCTTTAAAGAAAGAGATTGAGGAAGACACCAGAAGATGGAAGGACCACCCATGCTCATAGATTGGAAGAATTAATATTGTGAAAATGGTCATCTTACCAAAGCCATTTATAGATTCAATACAATGCAAATCCAAAGCCTCATGACATTCTTCACAGAATTAGAAAAAAATTCTAAAGTTCATATGGAAGCACAAAAGACCCTGAATAGCAAAAGCTACCCTGAGCACAAAGAGCAATGCTGGGGGGATTACTATACCAGATTTCAAACTATTTTACAGAGCTATAGTCATAAAAATAACACAGCACTGGCACAAATATAGACATATAGATCAATAGAGCAAAATTGAAGACTCAAATATGAGTACATGCAATTTCAGCTGCCTGATATTTGACAAAAGGGTCAAGAATATTCACTGGAGGAAAGACAGCATATTCAACAGTTGGTGCTGGCAAAACTGTATCTCCACCTGTACAAGAATGAAACTAGACCCTTATCTTTCACCTTGCACAAAAGTCAGCTCCAAATGGATCAAAGACCTCAATGTGAAGCCTGAAACTCTGAAATTGTTAGAAGAAAACACTGGCAATAACCTACAAGATATAGGTGTAGGAAAGGTTTTTCTAAATCACACATCAATTGCTCAGGAACTAAGATCAAGAATCAACAAGTGGGACCTCATTATACTAAAAGGCTTCAGTACATCAAAAGAAGCAACCAAGGAAGTGAAGAGAAATCTCACGAAGTGTGAGAAAAATCTTCACCAGTGACACATCTGACAGAGAAGTTTAACATCCAGAACATATAAAGATCTCAGAAAACAAAGAATCAAAAAAGCAAGTAACCCAATTAAAAGATGAGCTAAGGGTCTGAACCGAGAGTTCTCAAAAGAAGAGATAGAGGGGGCTAAGAAGCATCTTAGAAGCTGTTCAACATCATTAGTAATTAGGTAAATGCAAATTAAAAGCACTTTAAGATTTCATCTTACCCCAGTCATCTTCTTACCCCTTCGAGAGAATGTGGGGAAAGGGGAACGCCCATCCACTGTTGGTGAGATTGCAAACTTCTGCAACCCCTATGCAAAGCAGTGTGGAGAACTCTTAAAACACTAAAACTGAAGCTACCATTTGACCCAGTTATACCACTCCTTGACATATAACCAAAGAACTCATCCTGTTGCAGAGACACTTGTACATCCATGTTTGTTGCTGCTCTTTTCACAATAGCTAAGAGATGGAAGAAACCTAAGTGTCCTTCAACTGACAAGTGGATAATGAAAATGTGGTACATTTACACAATGGAGTTCTACTCAGCAGTAAAGAAAGATAAAATCATGAAATTTGCTGGTAAATGTATGGAACTAGAAGCTATTATTTTAAGTAAAGTAACACAGACTCAGAAAAATAAATGACATGTTCTCCCTCATATGTGGATCCTGGCACCAAATCCTTAAAGTGAGCGTGTGTCTAGACATAACTTCAGGATCCAGAATAATGAATGAAAAGGAACCAGAGCAGTAAAGGAAAAGAAAGAACCTGAGAGAGAAGAACAGGAGACAGGTGTTACTAAGGGAGAAATGGATAAACATGGGGTTATTTAGTGGGAAGGGGGAGGGAGGGTTATATAAACAACCTTGGGGATAAAAGGAAAGTAGGAGCTCTAGAGAGATGGGACCATAGAAGACTGGTATTATCAAGGGAGAAAAGAAGAAAATGGGGACACTTTAAATGGGGAAAACATGGCAGACGGGTTAGACAGTGAGAGAGATGGAAGAGAGATAAATAATGCCTAGCTAATTTTTTTTAAAAAACAGAATCATATTAGTCCAACAACCTTATGAAAAATTACACATACATTTTCTCTACATGAGTCCATGTGTATAGCTAAAGGCTACATAATGAGAAACATTGCCAGACAGGAGAAACCTTCCTTTGAATTGTTTGTTAGCCAGGGTGGTCCAAGAGACTCCTCAAAATTACTCAGGCTATTGCCACAGCCCTCAAAGACCTACCAGAACTTGAAGATAAGACCCTATTTCTTAGGACAGAAAATACTTTGGACACAGGAATTGGAACAATAGAGCTGAAACTGACCTGCAACCAATTCCCCTGAAGTCTAGCTCTCATAGCTTTGGAGAGCGCTATGAAGGTGCCAAGGGAAAACACGAACAGATGATCCAACACGAGTTTCAAGACCAATTAATCACATCAGTGTCCAGCACAGCATACAACATTGGTGCAGTAGTGGCACTTTTATCTTGGGGGCAATCGACAGCTACCTAATTGGACTAAAAGCTCACTCAAATGTTGTACTGTAAACGACCAAATACACATGGCTAGAGGGGTCATAGATCTTAGAGAAGACTATCATGTCCCTAGACTGATGTGATTTCTTACTATGTGAAAAATACATATCCTTATATTTACAGACAAATATCCCCGTCACCACTCATTGGAGAAGCTCATTTCGCACCAGTCAGAGACTATTACCAAGTACCACAACTGGTCACACACAGACATTGTCTATGAATTGCCCAGGCCTAAGTGACACATCTATAATGCAGCCTCTATACCTAAGGCTCACGGAGCATAGAAGAGGGATAAAGAAGAGGACATTAATGAATTTCCCAGTTCTCATTCTTGAAGCTCCCTCATGTGGTGGAGGGCCAGGAACACAAAATGTCACAAATGGCCAAAGCGTGGAGATCAAGAGCCTGCTGATTGCTGGTCCTTGGACAGGACTCCTTTATTAAAACTCACCCACCGAAGGCTCAGGGACCATTGTGGAAGAAGGGGTGGAAAGATTGTAAGAGCCAGGGAGGAAGTGCATGACCATATGGAAACAGAGTCCTATAAGCTCCTGGGAACCTGCTTCTGATTCTAGCAATGATGTCAGCATACACAGGTCCCTTCAAACTCAGGCAGATGAAAACCCAGCATGGAGCTGGGAAAATGAACAGCAGACTCCAATCTTATCTAAAGAAATACTGACAACTGATTGCTGCTAGGTGAAGAAGACCTGATCTTCCTTAAACAAGGAGCTCTAGATAGACTGACTGGGGAACATCTGGGGACACTGACTTGACACAGTGGGCCTTAACAGGGATGACAGAGTATATGAGTTCCCATGGGCGGGGTTGGAAGGCTATGGGTAGGGATGGGGATATAAAGATGATTAAGATTGTCTGATATGTTCTGTATGAAATACACAAAAATTCAATAGAAACGTAATGTATGAATGTAAAGAATGTTCTTATACAAATAAGATGACATATGGCTACAGACTTTTAAAGAAAAAGATGGATAAAACACAGAAAAGTAGAAGCAAAGTTAGAATAAAATTTAAAAAAAAGGGGGGGGTGAATCAAATAAGATCAGCAAAAGAGGAGGACAAAAGATGGAAGGAAACAGACATTAAGAGCAGAGACATAAGCTGGGTGTCTGGGTGCATGCCTTCAATCCCAGCACTTGGGACGCAGAGGTAGACATGACTACAAGATCAAGGCCAGCCTGGGAATGTCTACACCGGGAGTTCCAGCTGAGGCTACATCATGAGATATGTTAAAAAAAAAAATAAAAAGCAAGACACACTAAATATTACATTTAAAAATAAAAATTTTCCAGGGGATTCTACAGCCTCTTCTGTACTCCTGGAGTACATGGCACAGGTGCACTTACCTACATGCCGGCAATACATGCATACACATAAAAAAATAGTAATAAATTTTTAAAAAATTGTCAGTGTGGCTGGTCACCACTTCCTTATTCTGTAAGAGTGGAAATGAAACAGCACACAGCATTCATTTGGATGTTCAGAGACCTCAAACAAAGGGTGGCCAGGGATTCAGAAGATGCCATTAAGTGTCTGAGCTTTAGGCATTTGCTTCAAGGATTTCCTCTCTTCATATATAAACTAACATGAGTGAAATCTTAAACTTCCTTTAGATTTTACAGCCAGTGAACTGCATCTCTAAACAAGTAAGTGCAGAGCCCCGAGAAGAAAGATCACCTTCAATCATCAGATTCTTGGCTAAACACCATCCAGCCCTCCTTTATGAAGAACTTACAAATCTTCGATCTGCTGCTGGCACTGGGCAATGTTGACTGGCTCTTCTAGCCGGCGCGGTGGGAGCTCTGCGAGATCTTTTTGGGTCAATTTTTGGACGTGCTTCTTTGGAACAAAGCCCTGCTGATCATCAGCTTCAACCTTGCACCATTTCTGAAGTAAGAGCACATTTCCACTCCTTTCTTAATTCATGGGAAAATCAAAGTATGGCTTCAACTCTTACCAGAGTCTCCAGAAACAGACAGGTGACCAAGGAAATACAACCATCACTTACAGATGACATATTATTTCCATGTGTTACAGAAAAGGCCTATGAGGAGCTGCAGGGACTGCAGAAGTTAGTCCCAGGAATCACCTAATCTGACAGCTGATGTCAGATCAGTGAGGGCGCTTTGTTCCTCAGGAATTGACTTCTTGGAAATGGAACCTGTGTTTGACAGCATTGCGTATCTTATTTTCTGTTTCTCTCACTTCCAGAGACACTAAAATTTCTCAATTGCACTTAAATTCACCAATATAAATATTTTTGAGTGTTATTTTACAAACTACTCTGAAGTAACACTTCTCAGAAAATAATGCTGTGAAATGTAGTCTAGGTAAAGAAAGAGAAAGGAGAACACTCACTCAGGTTATTGGATAATGATGCACCTTGACTTTCTGAAACATTCATTTACCATTAAGAAGAATAACAAAATTCAAAACTCTCTTCTGACGAAGAGCTTTTGAAGATTAGTCAAGCATTGGAATATTCTTTAAAAACCTCATTTCACTTTTCATAAAAAATATA